CACGCTGCGCAGGCAGGGCTGCGGGGCCGCAGGCGGCAGCGGCGTGCTGTCCGGAGCAGAGCCCCCGGCGGCTGCAGGGCCACTCTATGACCCAGCGACAGGTCCTCTAAATTCATCAGGATGCAAATTCATCTCGCCCCCCAACTCTTCTCTGTTTCTCTGCTGCAGTATTTTAACTCATCTGCTTCCCAGCACCATAATGCAAATAAAAAGTCCCAAAGGAGGCCAGTAGAGTAACCCACACCCAAACTTACAGGTTTGACCTGCTTCTTGCCTTGTTCTGTTTTTAAAAAAAAAACCCAAACCCAAAACCTGCTGGCATTTCTCCCCATCTCTCGTGGCCCTGGGCCACTAAAAGTCGCTGTGGAAAACAGACAAAGAAGAGAGTGTAGACGTGGTGCCGCTGCCACCGTGCCACAGTCCCCTGCAGTTCAGAGGTCCCTCAGGAAAAACAGAAATCTCGGGAAGCCCAGTAGGTCTGTTACTGTCCGTCTTCTCGGCCTCTGCAGAGGGGGCTCCCCAAGGCACTGCAGTACAGTAGTGCAGAAATAACAGGCAGGAGATGGCTGAAATGGGGACGGCAGAACGGGGAGGTCCCTCTGGAAGGTCACTGTGCGTGGAAGTAGATAGGCTTGACTTTTCCAGACAGGATCTTGGGAACCTGCACAGAGATGATCTCGGCCATCATTTCAGGGTAGTCCACGCTCACCATATGTGCCTTAATTAAAAGGTCAAACGTAAACTGATGCAGATCCTTGGCAATCTGGAAAAGGAACACAGTTTGTTAAACGAGAAGTCCCCACTCAGCGATGCCCTGGGAAGACACCGAGCAGCCGTCAGCAGGCAGAGCAGGTCAGGGCTGGACCTTGCTGCAGTGGGACCTGCTTTGCCCTCTGGCCAGCAGCTAGCAGACGCAGGCATGCATCCCCAGGGTGAGTGCGGGAACCACGCAGCCTGGGAGCACGTAGCGTATTTTGCCATGGTTCTTCACACTCGGGCATTACCGAGTCCCGCAAAAACAGGGATGTATAAAAATGGCACTTTCTTACTCCTGCAGAAATGTGGCTTACTGTGTGCAGATGCTGCTGCTGTCACTTATTAAGAATTATTTTTTGCTTGTAAACATGAAACCGTACAGGCATGGAGCTGAGCCCCAGGGAAGAGGAAAGGTCTGACTCACATTTCACCAGTACAACTTTTAAGTCACAATAGAGAATTTGTTTTCACTGCTGTAATCAGAGAAGATTCACTGGGGGCACTCAGATTTTGAGTTGTTCTGCTAGGCTGACGATGGAAAAGTATCATCTCAAAGAGCTTTTCATTGCTAGAAAAGGAAGCCTATAAACCCAAGCACAAGAGTGGTTACTGCAGGGAGTGACCGACACAGACAACCTTCACTCCCTCAGTAGTGTCTGTCTTTTCTCTGTCGCTTAATCTGGGAGCACACTGCAATACTGTCCCTGCAAAGGTGTGCCAAGAGTGAAAAAACAGACCACAAAGAATCACAGCATCATCAAACAGCCCAGGTTGGAAGGGACCTTGAAAGGTCACCCGGTCCAACCTTCCCTGGGAAAGGGAGCCTGGATGAGACTACCTAGCGCCCTGTCCAATTGCATCTTGAAAACCTCCAGTGATGGAGACCACCACGACCCTGTGGAGGTTGTTCCAGCAAATGATCATTCTCACTCTAAAAAGTTGATTTCGTCTATCATTTCTTATGTGTATAGACAGACATTTCACTGTCCTCTCTTACAGGATGCACGGAGTCCAGGACCTTGGTGAGCTGGTAAAACCGCCGAGAGCAGGAGGTAGGGTTCTTCCTCTTGCAAGCAATGATACGGTCAAGTTCCTTAATGTAATTCATTCGAAGTTCATCAAAGAGCTTCTGGTTCTTCAGGCCATCCACTGGAACTGGATGGAACATGAGAAGGAAAGAGTAAGAGTTGCTCAAAGAGCGGAGAGAACAAAAGAGCAAGAGGAAGGCTGAAGGAGTGGTCAGTGCCGACCTAACAGGAAAGACCTGCCCACCGGCCCTGCTTCCGCTACGGCCCCCGCTCCGATCCGCTTGTTGCACTACTGCTGACCCAAAGATCCTTGTTCCGCACTTGTTAAAAGAGAGAGGCAAGGTAACAAACTGCAGCGCTATTTTCCTGCTCAGCAGCTGATGCTCGGAGGTCCCCACGATGGCAGCAGCTGGGCTGAGGAGCAACCTCCTGCAGGAGCTACACGGGAGGA